CTGCTGAACATGTCTGCAGAGCTTATTTCAGTTTCTGTGGCTATTTGTCTTCTGCGTTTAGGAGATGGTTCAATGATCTTTAGGGAGCTTGGAGTGGGCTCTGCAACAGCAAAACTGGTAGTGACAACTGGAAGGGCATCCAGCAGCCTCTTCTTGTCTTCCTCTTGTTCTTTTTCCAGGTCGTCCCCTCTTACAGTTGTCTGTATGCCACAAAAAACAGAATAATCAGTGTAAAAAGGCAAAATAAAACATATGAGATACAGTAAATGCTGCAAAACAGATGTGGCATTAAAATATTGATACAAACTTGAACCGGTTTGAATAACTTGGTTGTACTGGATCGACTCGATCATATCTTACACCTTGCCTTGACCATTGAGATTTGGTGTAGGTTGGGACTTTACTTCTGGACTACGTTAACTATCATACAGGAAAATAATTTCCAGTCCATCAATCAGATGAAGGCTCTAAACACAGATTTGCAGATTTTGTAATTGGAGTTTACAATTAGTACCCCCAGCAGCATTTTTATCTGTTGAAAGGTGAAATAGACCTCAGATAGTGTAATTGTAGAAAGAGGTAGTCCAGAAAATGTGGATAAGTTGTAATTGATATTATCATAGCATTATGGGCTCTATGCACAACCTAACTACTTCATGACAGCTCTTTTGTTTCCTGTCATTTTTTACTGCATGAACTGACCTCAATAACCATGGTCACACACCTGGATTAATCAGTTCATCCAGTAAAAAGGAGACAAATGAGCCAAATGTGCATGAAGCCAAATAATAAAGTTATTTTATTTAGATCCAATTCATGCTTTCAGTTCATTTAACAATCAGCATTTCACTATAGTGTGCAAAGCAACAAAAGATATCTTAATTGTTGCTTTTATTTTTTTCAATGTTGATCTAAATACAATCATTATCAGTATCAGACACAAATATTTTTTTTGTAATGTTCATTGTTTTTTTATATCAACTATTTTCTAGCTTAGCATCAACAACTATTAGTTTTTCAATGCTTTTTGTTCTAGTCATTAATTTTTATGGTTTATCATTTGATTTTCCACTTCTTAAATTTAAAATGCAGTTGTTTTGAAAAATATATTGAGCTTAAAAATCAATGCAAAACAAACAAACAAAATCCTGTTACAACAGCTAGTCTTTTGTTTTGAAGGGACACAAATGGATGTTGTTAGATTTAACCGCCAGTGATGAAAAATCACAATTAACTAGGCTTTGTTAATGGTAGTGGTGATCAGGTGTTTTCACCTTTTTTATTATTATTACTTTTGTTCAAACAAAAGAAGGTGGAAACTGAATGGGGCGCATTATTGGGTCAAATATCAGCAGCTGTTTGTCTTAGAAGCGTAAATGGCTCTTTAAACCACCTCTTCTAGCTCCCCCATGCCTTCTGCGACCTCCGCCCGCAGTTTAACATGTGAGGTGAGCCAGGCCATCTGGCTAAACAGCCCCGGGACCTGCATCTCCCACGGGATGTCGCCTTCTTCCTGCTGGGGGAACTGTCTCCTGACCAGTCGCTTTCTTGCTTTACAGAACTTGTCACGCAAATTTTTCCACAACAGCTTCGCCTCTTCTTCGGACTTGCCCATGGCGGCCCCGATTTCTTTCCACGCTAAGTGTCCTTTCACACTGTTCCTGTAGTCCCGCCGCGACTGGTCGTAAAGGTTCGGGTGTTCGCGCACCAGCTCCGCCAGCTTCTGTTCGGTCGCGTTCATCGCTGGACTCAGACCGCTACACGGCGACGTCCTTTCGCCCAAGGAATACGAACCTCAGATTGACTTTCAGACGGAAGTACGAAGCTGGCAGAATTCAAAATAAAAGTGTTTTATTTTAACGCCACCTTTCTCGAGAATGCAATTCATCTGTTGAGGTGAACAAAGGGTTCAAAACATATGATATTGTGTTTTAAGAGGTTTTCTAAGGACTTTTGGTCTTCTTTAAACTGCTAATTTCTTTACTCTGACCCACTCTGACAATAGGCCAAATCACAGAGGTTTTTATAAGGGTGGCCAGGCAATAACCAATGTACAGGGAGGGGTGGCCGAAAGTAGATGGGCACCAGAACCTCAGGGTCGATCTATAATTCAATTCAATTCAGTTTATTGATTTATATAGCACCAATTCACAACACGTCATCTCAAGGCACTTTACAGTTCACTTGATCATACAGTCAAATTGATTCAAAGTTTTCTATCTAAGGAAAATCTGTTGTTTGCATCGACTCGTTGACTCCAATGCAAGCCCTCACACTAAACATGCTTGTAGCGACAGTGGAGAGGAAACCTCCAGCACAACCAGGCTCAGTGTGAGCGACCGTCTGCCGAGGCCGACTGGGGTTCAAGGAGACAGAAGCAGAGATACAAAAAGCAACTATAAAAGGCGGCCCCATCCACGAAACACACAGCCAGGCAGACGAGCTCCAAGCCTCCAAGCTATACTGTTCCAACAGGAAAATTAATGAGCAAAACATCAATATTTTCTAAATAAAGACAAACTATACTTTCCCACAGCCTTTGCTAACAAATAGAGGAATATATTCAAATATTCGTACTTTCTACATAAAAGGTATAGTGGATAAAATTCTTTCAGGTTTGAGATTTGGGCAAACATCTTTTTCTTAGTCATTACTTACCTACTTTTATCAATAATAATAAGTTTTTATTAACATTTGTATTTATCTATGATGTCACTGAAGACTCTTAGATGACTTGCAGAGACACATAATTTTCTCTTTACCCCATAAAACCCAAAATCTAGTTCTGAAAAGAGCATGAATTCTGTATTTATCATCTTTAATGTTAGTATATTGATGTGCATAATTAACCACAGTGTTTTTGTTGAAAAATGAAAATGTTTTGCCACCATCTGTATTAGAGGGAAATAAATGGTAGGGGTGGTCAAATGGGTGACCAATGATTGACTAAGGGTGGCCATGGCCACCCCTGGCCCCCCATATAGCTCCTCCCCTGCCAAATCACTCCAACGACTGTAAAAGACATGCAGTATTATTGCACTGAACTGGCTGGCTCTTTTGGCAATTATCACACTGCAGAACCTTAAAGAAATCATTAACATGTTAAGAGGACGATCCAGGACAGTGTGCCTAAATGCCACTTATGAATTCCTGCTAAACTTAATTTAGGAAATTACTGTTATAAACTAATTTCACCATTATCTTGCTAAGAAGGACTATGATGAATATCTCTTATATAATCCTATCTAATGAGAACCTATTGCAGGTTTGACATGCAGTATTATCACACTCACTTTGTCGCACTGGAGTGGCTGACTCTTTTGGCATTCCAAAGAGTTCAAAAACAATCCACTGGACTTTGTTTTCAAGTTTGAAGACGTTTTGTTTACCATCCAGGAAGATTTTTCAATTGAAAATGGCAGAAATGGCGTTGAGTTCGAGGCTTTATAGAGTGAACCAAAAACAAAGTCTTGTTTTGGCTTAGAAAACATGCCAATTGAACTGGTCCATCCCTTAGGAATGGACCAGAGGACAGGTTATATATATATATATATATATATATATATATATATATATATATATATATATCCATCTCTCTCCAGATGTTCAATGGGAAATATGTCTGCACTCATTGCTGGTCCTTTTAGAAGTCTCCAGTGCTTTCTCTCAAACCACTTTCTAGTGTTTTATGAAGTATGTTTTGGGCGTTAATGTCCTGCTGGAAGACCCATGACCTCTGAGGGAGACCTAGCTTTCGCTAACTGGGCCTTACACTGCCATGCAAAATTCCTTGGTCATCTTCAGACCTTATGCCAAGCACACGGTCAAGCAGTGCAGTGCCAGATGCAACAAGTCAACCCCAAAACTTCCACCATGTTTGACTGTAGGGCAGTGTCCTTTCCTTTGAGGGCCTCGTTTTGTTTTCGTGTAAACTCTATGTTGATGCCTTGGTTTCATCCGACCAGATAACATTTTTACAAAATGTTTTTCTTTCTCAGCTAATAATAGGCAAACTCCAGCCTGGCTTTTTTATGTCTTTGGCTCAGAACTGGGGTCCTTCTTGGTATCTTACTAGAGTCCCTTTTAATTTACATGCTGATGGATAGTATGGGGTGTCCCATCCAAGTTGCAGGAAAGCTTGGATGTTAGTCGAGGTTTTTCATTCCACCATTTGCACATCTGTCCACACATAATGGAGGTCAGCCACAGTGCCATGGGCTTTAAACTTCTTGATGACAGTTCAGTTGACACAGGAACATTCCCGTCTTCAGAGAAGGAAATTGTAGCCTTGAGATTGCCCATGCTTCTTCACAATTTTGCTTTTCTAGTTCTCAGATAATTCATTTGGTCTACTTTTCTCTATGCTCAGTGTCGTACACACAAGGATGAGGTTCATTCAATTTTTAATTCATTTAAACTGGCTGCAAGTATGTTTTACTTATTTCCACCACCTGTTATGTGCCACAGATAAGTAAAAGGGGATTTTTCAAAGGGTGTGAATACTTTTGTCCTCTCCGTTTCGTTTGGTGTGGAATTATATCCTATTAGGATTTTTTACAATTGTTTTTTCATAGCAAGCAAAATTAAGATTCTAATGCCAAAACATTTGTAATTGCAATTGTTTTCTGGGAGGAATTTAGATTATCTGACAGAATAAGTTTCCAAAACTTTTGGCCAGCTTTCTACATCATGTTATTAAGAATTATTTGTATTTTTTTTTTTTTTTTTTTAAGTTTTCAGTCTAAGGAGCAGGAACCGTTGAACAAATATTGCACTCATCATTCCCCTTTATTCACAGGGATCTGTAAATTGCATATTGTAAGAGCTTTAGCTTCCTGATTCTTGCTTTTTTGTAACACATTTGTTTCACCCTCTGCTGCAGCTTCTGATGGGACCATTTAAAAAATGTTTTTGGCACCTTAAGGATTCATTTTTATTCACAACTGAACTTGGTTTTCACATTACATCAAAAACTCTTCACACAAAGTCAAACTCAGGAAAACAATTAAATACAAAATTTATTAAGCAAATATACAACAGCTTAATAGGCTATCTTACAGCTCAAATATAAAGATCTTCTTTTATTTCCACTCATTAGGAGTGGAGTTCATATTCAACTTAGACTTTAAACTCTGAAGAATTGTGAAAACATTGAATAAAAAGCAAGAAAAAAAAAAATACACATAAAACCTTTCAAACCAGGAAAGCTGATCTGAAATCTGTTTGTCTGGATGGTCTAACAAATTCATCTTGAATAAAAAAAGAAATCCTTTACAAAACATCAAATATAAAGAACATTTTTACAGCAGTTTTTTTTTTTTTTTAAGTTTTCAGTTGATCACATCTGACCTGACTATGTTCTGTCCTGCAACTTCAGAGTGTTATTTCATTTTTGTATACAAAAAAACAAAAACAATAATCTTTGGGATGAAATTGTGTTTTTTTTTTCCACAGCACCAAAACAATGTAAATGTTCCTACTCAAATCCAAACATTTCTTTCTTTGCTCTATGCAAGAACCTCTTTTATATTTGTGATAATTGTATTACAATACCCAAATATACAAAATGTAAGAACAAACAGTCAAAATACAAATATGTTCCCAAGATACTAAGGGACTAGGATTTTGTTTTCTTACCAAAGGAAGCAAGTGTTTTCTTCTATATTAAATCTTCAGGTATGGTGTCGAAACAGAGCTGCAGGCTAAATTCTATGTGGGGTGAAATTGTCACAGCTCTGCACTAAATGATGTCAATTGTAACACAATAAGTGACTACCATCAGCTTTCCTGATAAGAAATGCTATAATATTAAAACAGGTGTTCCAAGACGCAGACAAACTCCAGGATTTATCAGAGGACAATTGGGGGACATCAGTACACCCCTCGTAGTCCTCCACTTCTTGAGCCTCCTCCTCCTCCGCTGCTGTAGTAACCGCCTCCCCCACGGCCTGAGAATGTAAAGGAAAAGCGTTAAAAGCTTTGCAATTCGAAATATATATATATATTATTCTCTGGACTACAACATTTATTTAGTATTGAGGTGATTTATGATAGAGAACTCACTCATTTCAGGTGCTCCACTAGATGTTGAGTTAAGGAACAGCTCGATATAGCGATGTTCTGTGGAGAAAACAAACATTTATACTCCTGCTGTTTAATGTTGCCCTCCATCCACTCCTTCGACCAGTACTGCACATATTAAGGTGCTTTAATTGAGGTGAGGTTTTGAATGCTGTTCTTTTAGCCAAAATTAAGTCTGACTAATGTAACATACCGGCACTAAAGTCTTAGTTAAGTAACATGCTGCTGTTTTTTTTTTTTTTTTTTCTCCTCTGGTGTTGCCACCAGAAAATGTCGACCACTGTTTATTGATCATCTATTCTCCAGATGCAGTATTTATATTGTAAAAACTCAGTACAGCGCAGTATTTTATTTGTTTATTTTCTTAACTCTGTCACTTATTCTGTTATTTTTATACACTTTCTAAGGTCCACATTGTGTGAACACTTCTGCAATAATCTTTTGCTGCTGCCGTTAACCTGTAATTTCCCCGTTGTTGGACAATAAAGGGACATTCTATTCTAAAACTAATCAGCAAGTCTCATGATCATTAGTGAAAGGACAAAAGAGAGTCACATACGCATGTGATTCTTGTCTTTGGACATGGCCGCCACCGCATCTTCATGGCAGCGAAACTCCACATCCGCCTCTCCAGTTGGCTTCCCATTAGGCGCCATATCAATGTGGATCCTCAGTGGATTCAGTGGAGCAAAGAACTTAAAAAAAAAAAACACAAAGCAAAAAAAAACTGTTGAGACTCTGAAATTGTGCAGCAGTATTTTCTATTATTAATGGCCAGGGAAAGATTACTAACAACAGAGTCTAACTTTAAATCATACTACTACTGCTCTACTAATTCTATAAAAAAAACAAAACAAAACAAAAAACATACATTTACCCTTTAAAATGGCTTAAAGGCTAGATTAAAATGATTAACTTGTTCCCGGAGACAATGCAATGGCTCGATAGCCTTTTTAGCTCATATTTCACCCCTGTTTAAGAGAGATTGCTAACATTTTCAGGTAATACCCTAATACAATCATTAAATATCCGTAGGAAGTCATAAATCATTAACTAGTTATTTTACTTTTGCAATGTCGCCCTCTGTGGCCCGAAAAGGTAAACCCCTCATGTGCACGAAATGGCCACTGTGGAAACCTGAGCCACCATCAGACGGTCCACCATAACCGTGGCCTCCAATTCCTGGAAATAAAAAAACAGAATGAACCTCAGAAATTTACCAATCAGGATATATTATTTAATTAAATAATAACATCTTCAGACAAGTTTTAAAAACATACTTTGGATGCATTTTAAAATATAAGACTAACTGTAAAATTATGTTAGATCTTTAAAATGCAAATATATTACTAAAACAATGTTTCCTTTTAGCTATTTGTATTTATGTTATCCTTTGATCTTTACCTCTTCCTCCTCTCTCTCCTCTCATTCGGTCATTAAACATCCCATCACTAAAACCATAGTCATTGAGACCATTGTAGTTGTCAAAACTACTGTAACCTGGACATATAGCAAAAAGAAAAACAAAAAACAAAACATTAGATTGTACAGTAGGACTAAGAAATGATACAGATGACACTTCACAGGAAGAAGAGAAGGACGATATATCAGGATGATAAGTCCATTTTTTTCCCCCCAAACAAACTTATTCTGGGTTCGTAAAACCGTTAGTAATGGTTTCTCTTTCTAAAGGTGAATGTAAATACAGGAGTTTACCTCCTCCATAACCGCCTCCACTCCTCATGTTGTCTATCAGACCCACAGTGCGTCCAGGCCCATAAAGGCTTCCCCTTGGGGCTGCTACTACAGGTCTGTCATAGGGCCCAGGCCTCTGGGTTGTTCCCCCCCGCCGGGGAAGGTCATAGTGGGCTTTGATCTCCCAACGGCTGCTTTTAAAGATTTCTATGTACCTGCAACATGAGAGGCCCAAGGAACAATGGTGAAGTAGATTAGAAGCTTTAAGTGCAGAAAAAGCTAACATCTGTAACTAGCAGACATCACAGAGACAAGATAAACATCCTTACACAGCTATAAAAAATATTAAAAAGGAAAAAAAAGCAAAAATATAAAACCAAATAAATTAAATAAATAAAAGCTGGGTTATTTGCTCACAGTTAAAGATGTCTGTAACAACTTCACCACTGAAGCTTATGGCCTAATCCTAACTGGGTGTTTAGGGCTGCTTTGAACTTTCTACTGAGCATCCATGAGATGCTTTGATGGCCGCAAGCCACTGCATCTATAGAGGTGGCAAAATTATTTAAACCCTTTGAACTATTTTATTACATAACCTCAGACCTCAAAGTATTAAATTATGTTTTTTGTATTACAACAACCCATAAATGGGCACATTGTTAAGTTAAAATAAAGTTTTAGCTGTCTGTACAAAATAAATGTTTAATTTAGACCAGATGGAAATTATATATAAATATTAGTTTGAAAATTTGACAAAGGGTACTTACTGGGTTTAAGACTGGAATTTGCCCAGGCAATTCTAACAATTATTAAGAATATAGTAGAATTCAGCTTCCATCCATCTGAACTTCTGGGTTATAAGGTTGCGGTTTGTTCACTAATGTTCTATAACTAAACTGCTGGTGTCTTAGATCTACTTAATACCTAAATAGGGACTTCTTGAAAGCAAGAGGATGCTGCAGGTTGTATAGAGTAAAGGGGGAGAAAACCAATATAGAAATGTTATTTATAAAATATTAATTATAAAGCATTTATTTTCTATTTACATCTATTTTCAGTCACTTGGTTAAAGATTTGTTTTGGTCCATCCTATTAAATCTCCCAATTACACATCCAGATTATAAACTCACACATTAATAAAAAAAAAAAAAGTTCAGAGGTGTAAATACGTCTGCGCTGCTCAGGATAAACAGTCTAAACCCTTCAAACGTCACTGTCTTTAATAATTAGTATGAACTGTGCCCAATATAAACACCTTTACGAGCCCCAAAATTCTGTTCATCACAGGAAACCCAATTAAAGCCACTTTTATTAAAAACCCCAACCAGTTTTCCTTTTCCCCCTCCAGAAATGGTACAGCCCACAGACCCATACATATCATTCATCCACCCCTCAACCCATCTAAGTAAAACCACAATTATTCTAAAATGATCATCCATAAAATGCCATAGAAAAACCCAACCCAGTCCAGCCCATCCCTCTCCCATCCGTCCCACCTGTGCCCTATTCTTTCCTTGTGTTTCCCCAGAGCCTTTTCTGCTATCTCCTTTGAGGCAAACTGCACGAAGGCTTCCCCTGTGCTCCTCCCCTGGTAGTCCACTGGCAGAGTTATCCCATTTGGCACGATTCTGAACCCTTCAACCCAAGCACACATAAATACATAGGTCGGTAGGTAGACTGGTAGGAGAATTGAGAACAACACCCACTGCATCAGTGGAGCTTTGAGGATTAGTGTCATCAATGATCATTGTCAGCAGTACTCTGTAAAACTTCACAAACATTGTAATATAAGAGTAACAATTAAATAATGTCCCCAGCAGTAAAACGAAACAAATGTGGTTCTGGAGTCAGTATAAAAAGTTACAGTGCAACAACCGTTACCTAAGTACAGATGTTTAAATTCTGCTTACTACCCCTAATCATTTCAATATGTTTATGTGAGAGTTAAGTTTTAGGTGTGATTGTTTGGTCTTCGCTCTTAATAGTTCAGGACTGATAGAAGACAGTCGATATTAGAATAATACTGACTCCAGATCCATTTTATGGGTAATGAAAAATTTGTAAAGCCAACCCAGCTCATACAATTTAACATTTAATAAGGCATAATCAGCATCTTTGTAATATAAGTATCTAATGAGAATACAACTGTAGTTTATAGAACTATTTTAGAGACTCAATTTTCCTAATTTGACATTTTTATGTACTGATACCCAAGTTTTGTTCTAAACTTTACTTCAGACCTGAAAATCTAAGTTATGGTAGAAATACTAATAGTCAACTGAGGGAGCATTCTAGTTACGTGCAATTTCCAAAAAAACAACAACATATAAATATATTATATGCACCACTAATAAGTAATTGAATTTAAAACTAACTCTTTAACAATAATATTCTGACTGTACTAATAAGGTTTTAAACTATGATGGAGATAAAATGTAGTAAATCAAGTACTTGTTTTTGCATTATTTTCAAACTTTGACGTTTTTGAATGAAGTGGAATTTTGGATAGAAAAACTGAACTATAATGGAAAGAATTTAGCAAATTATGATTTCTTTCTTAATGCTTCTGGATACTGCAGTTACAAATTTTTAATGAACTGAAATGATCTGAGTTTAGACCAAATTGGACTTTTAAGTTGTATAAGGATCATACCCATTTGTTATACAAATTACCTTTAGAGTACATTGGTACATTCTAATACATTAGTACATTAGAATTAGCTCCCTAGAAATGAAAAATCTCCCATTAACCAACATACTGTACATTTTACCTGTTTTTCCCTGTCTTTATGCACTTAACCAACAATATCATAATTTAAACACAGTGACTATAAACATGAACAAATTTTCTCCACCCAAGACGCATTGCTCTAAAATAAATGATAAAAGCTACATAAACATTTCAACATTAGTGTACCTGAAAAGAACTGGACAATCTCCTCCTTGCTACAGCCAAAGGGGAGTCCTCTTAATTTTAGCATGCAGCCATTGCAGCTGTCAGGAGGAGGGCCGCTACGTCTCAGCACCCATTCCATTTCACTAAGTTTTGACTTAAACACTGTTTTAAACACATGAACATAGGAAAATATTAACACAGCAACAACTATGCAAGAAAGATAGTTTAAGAAGAAACACTGTCATATTTCTTCCAAAGAAAAATATCAAACAAAGAAAGCATATTCCTCGTATTTACATATTGACAACTAAAGCTCTGCAGGAAACTGGAGGAATTTGAAACAGAAAAGCAACACAGGAACCGTAAATAATTTTATAAATAAACAACAATGCTTTAGAGACAAAACTGTCCAAAAAAAATAAAAAATTTTAAATCATACATTTCAAAGGTTTATTACAGTTTTACCTTCTACGTATCTGTGTCCCATGTATTTACGATCCTTGGCAAGTGCATTCTTGTAATCATCAGCTGTTTGTAGCTCAACAAATGCCTCGCCGGTGGAACGACCCTCTTTAGTGTAGGTCAGACATACTCCGTCTGCGCCTCCCACAATGTCACAGTCTGCAGAAACATACGATCATTTCAATATTCTACTTACAAAAAGCCACAGCAGCTGATCAGATTTCAACAGAGCTATTAATAACACGCAACAAGTGTTTCTAACACCAACTAAACAGAAAGGTCTGGATGCAATGGCCTCAAAGAAAACAGTCAATTATGTACATTGATGAAAATTAATTTAGCCATTTAACACTACAACTGAGGAATCAAAACAATTCCCCGAAGGTGCTTGTCATTTCATCAAGTCATCATCCAGGGTGAAGGAATTGGACCTATACTAACAAACCAACAACTTGATATTGCAAGCTATTAATACTATTAAATTGTTATGTCAATTACAAAAATTATATCTGTATTCGGTTTTAGTTTTAGGGTCTTAATCGTCAGATTATATACATTTCAACTGATCCAAATGCAGATCAGAACATAAACAAATACAAACAAGAGGAAAAAAACAAGGCAAATAATACAGGTATGGTGTGGGAATTTTAGTGATTAATTTTCTCCATAATTCACAAAAACACTTAACTATGAAGAGAAATAAACTCATATGCAATGTGAATGTAAAAAAAAAATAGTTTTTTTTGCTTTCTGAAAGAAAAAGAAGCTACAAAAGGGACAAAAAAGCAACATACTGGTAGAAGATATGGATACACATTGACCTGGGGTCTTTTTAGTAAACCAAATTTCCTGAAACAAACACCTGTTTATCGTGATTAGCAGAACTCATAGTAGTAGTCTAGTTCAGTTGATATGCGTGTTTATTCTCACCAGAGAAGAAGCTAGCCACTTCGTCCCTTGAGCAGTTCCAAGGAAGTCCTCTGATACGGACCACATACCCATCATCATTTGAAGACATCCTTTCTGTCAGATAATAAAAGCCAAGAATTTTTTTTTAATCATAGAGTTCTTACACTGAATGTTATGATCATAAACATTACCATTAATTGTTGGGGTCAACTAAATGGTGATTGTGCTACTTAGCTTTTTGTACCCTTAAACAGCATTTTTAACAAAGAAGTAATTTTCATGTGGCCAAATATCATTCAAATATTATTTAAAATACCCCCCCCCCCACACACACACACACACACACACACACACCCACCAAATATAACCAAATTTTACAATTAACTGTGAAAGTTTTCAAAAATGAGCAGAAACATTGATTTGACGATTTTATGTTATCATTACATAATTTATGTAAACAATATCACTATATCATAGAAATATGGTTTACTGTCACAGTATACCTGGAAAATTCAGGTATAAAAAAAAGCAGGGGGAAACGGGAAGCCGTACAACATACATTTTAAAGAGATTTTGAAACAAGCGAAAAGTAAATAAGTATTAAATTGAAATAATGGCAACGGATCAAACACACTTTGAATAATTCAGATTGAGAAGAAAACAAGATCTGACATCGATTTCACATAAATCCAGGAAACATTAAATTTAATTATAAAAGTGAACCTCTTATACGGAAGTACATAGTGTTCGATTTTAGATGACAGGAGAAACTGCTTTACATTACCACGCTATTAGCAGCCGTAGATCTAACGTCAGGTGTCATTAAGATAACAACGCTCACCTTTAAACTCATTCAGAACGCTGTCGTATCTGCACCCATAAATAGTGGTTATTACTTATTAACAGGACACAATTTTATCATTTGAATGCATATACGCCGAGTTATACAGCATTTAAGCAAACGCATTTCCTCTTTCGAGCTAACGAGATGTTAGCTTCATCGGTGTAGCACTTAGCAGGCCAACTGCAAAGCAACGATTACAGCTATAGCAACGATTCTAACTAATTTGTAAGCAAAAAACAGATAAACTAAACCCGATAATACTTTTAAACGGATTACCAATCAAGTGAAAATCATTTTCAGACAGAAATAATAGTAGAGTTGTTCTATTTACCCCGGTGTTTTCCAGCTCCTAGAATTTCACTATCAGGAAACGCGCTCAGGTAGCCTCTTCCTCGTTGGGTGTTATGTGACGCAAGGCAGGCAAACCAACTGTAAAGCGCAATACTGCCACCTACTGGCCTGGGAAGCTGACAGATCACAACATGTGTTCTCTAAAAATAAATATATTTGTTCTATTTAAACTACAATACAATAACTCAATGCTTAATATAGTTGCTATGTTCAAAAGCTATTATATACTGTATTTACTTCTCAATTTAAATTTACCAAAAAGGTTGTTGCTATAAATTTTGAGTAGAATAGACACCTATCTCTAGTTCTGTACCCAGGTGTAATGTGGACTTTAATGCAATATATGTCTTCTTTTGACCAAGGTTCAAGGACAAATAAAATCTCTACAACTGACAGCTTTCTGCTGAAATTTGTTTTGCCAAATATTTAGCTGTAATTTTTGGGCTTTTCATCGTGACCCATGTTATTTTCATTCACCATTCCCCTTTTCAGTTGTGCAGAGGTCTGCCGACGAGTCATTCTTTTAGTTCAAGTGTACTATAGAAATGATGCATGATGGTAACTCTTATGGACTGGACTAGGGCAGCTTTGTCTTAGAAGTTCCTTGCTCTAGTTGGGTCAATAATGAGGGTTGTCTATTTGCTGTAGCAGATGTTTATACTGTAAAACTAAAATAATCTAAACTGAATACAATTTACACACATACATACAGCAAAATATTTGAAATGCTTTTTTTGCCATTGTTGTTTTACTTTTTCAGGGCCAAACTTTAACATCAAATGTCTTTAATTTATATTTTTGTAGGCTGAAAAAAGCTTTTTCTGGTGCCAGTTTAGCTCCATATACTTACAACACCACTAACTGCTTCTGATATGCCGAACCAATGGAAGTTGGAAGAAGTGAGGGGGGAGTCGCTGAAGCTTCCAGTGTGCAAACCAAACAGAGAAGGTTGAAAGTCCAAGGACAGCAGCTCTGCAACAGACACCAACACTGTCCGCGTTGTTTCAGTTTAAGACGTATTATTGATTTAAAAAAATGGAGATTCCTGTTTATATGCTGGATGCCTTCACAAATTTACCATTCAAAGGAAATCCTGCGGCTGTCTGTCCACTTCTGCATGTGAGTTTGCATGTTTGTGTTGCATTATCAGTCAAAGTGTTTTAAAATTTATGACTTATAAACCATGTGACAAGAGATAAAATCTGATCCTATGAAGGATTAAATTGTTAATATCTCTGATTGGGATTAAATCAAACATAGATGCTTTATTGATTCAGCTACAGTTGTTGCAAAGTAAACAGTTTCAGGTTAAAGGCGTTACACTATCACACCACTAGTCTTAGAATGTGCAGCTAAACACACTAACCTTTGCCTGAGCCATTACTCAGTTGCATCATACCTGAGTTTATGTTATCCTGTGTTTTTTGTTTTGCTTTGTTTTTTAACAGGAGCTGAATGATGATTTGTATCATAAGATAGCAGCAGAGATGAACCTGTCAGAAACAGCTTTTATTACCTTGATCAACGCTGCGGATACATTTACTTCTGGTAGTTATTTACATATAATTCTTAATAATTACATATAATTCCAAATTACTGGTGACATATACCTGCTGAGATTTGAATTGCTAAGAGTTTGGCAGTAAATTATTACTTCTAACTTGGTAAAAACTTTTCTTGTAGACTGTCTATGACAGTGAGTCATAGATAGGACTACATGGATTTACTTAATAAGACATCTTTTTTTTAAATCATATAAACAACAGGAAAAAGATTTCGCCTTAGATGGTTCACACCGACAACTGAAGTGGATCTGTGCGGCCATGCCACACTGGCTTCTGCAGCCGTACTGTTCCAGCATCAAAGTAAGACTCGTCTAATACACACATATATACACAATAGGCAGAGTGTCATTCACTGGAGATCACTAAAATAAGTGCAAATGTGAAGTAGGTATGTAAAAATCTAAACAAACTGAAGTGTATCATATATGCTTCCTTAGATAATGTTAACCCAACACTGGTGTTTGAGACCAGAAGTGGAGCTCTAGCTGTGACCAAGAAAAAAGAAGGATATGTCATGGACTTTCCTCTGAACCCACCCACCAAGGAGGTACATAACACTGTCAAGAACACATCAAGACAAAGCTACAGAAAATTAGAAGATATCTAGGTTCTGTCTGGTAGGTAAATTAATTAAGTATATCTTTATCATATATACCACACCCATCACTGATATGAATACAGAGTGCTTACAAAGTTAAAGCATTAAAAAAAGAGAGAAAAAAAAGAAAAATCAACAATTTGAGCAAAAATAAAAAAATCTGCATGCTTTCTGCAGCAGCAGGACACTAGCAAACCCAATGTTGCATATATATATGAAAAAGGCTCTATGAAGGGATAACTATACTTTAAACTGTGTTGGTGTTTACATTTAGATGACGTATATAATATACACTTAGAGCACATGTCATATTAGCATAGACTTAATGTTATTGTAAAGCAAGATACTTTTTAGGTGAAGAATACACAGTAACAGCATGACTCCTGTAAAATTAATGGGAAATTAATTAAAGCAGGTTATAGCAGGAATGCCAGCCCTGGTCAGATAACTATTACAGTGAAAATCCCAATTTATCAAATTCTTCAAAGTTTAACTCTGGATATAACATATTATTATAATATCTGACAATAAGAAGATGTTAACAAATGTTGAGAACCTAAAAAACACTAAATCAAAGGGAAAAGCTTCCCATAGTTATGCTAAATTACCGGTAAGTAAATGTAGCAGCACCAAAAACCTTTGTCTTCCTCTCTGATACAGTAAGATGCTTTTGTAATTTTCAATTATGATTTAATAATGTGTATATGAAAATATTTTTCCTCAATAAAAAGGAAAATGTTTTCAAAGATCACAACCTATTCTAGTTTTTATTCTCCTTTTGTAAAGCTGATGAGTATAAATTTGCAGGGATTCTTTGTGAATGAAGAAAAAGGGACAGTAGTGGGAACAAGTGAATTTTGAAACTCTGAAGATATCAGCAGTGACAGGGCAATGATCCTATAAGAGAGCCCTATGTTTCTTTTTTAATCACATCTTTAACGCATACTTTTTCTGGTAGGTTTTATATACATGAGGTTTAAATATTGAAATGCTTTTATGTTATGTTATATTTTATATATATATAAAATGTGTTATTTTCTATATCAAATGTTATTTAACATGTTTTGTTTGCAGTAGCTGTGAAACATCCATGACAATGGATAAAAAATAAATCAAATAAACCTTTATTAAGATTACATGTGTTTTATATTTCACAGGATCTCACTGACTTTAAACATATTGTAAAGGTCAGTAATCAAACATGCATCGTTCACAAGCTTATCTGTTTAAAAATATCTCAATGGGCTGATTATATGTTTGTGTACATCTGCATTTAATGCAGGTGACAGTGGGGAACCATCCAGTTCAGGAGGTCTACTTGAGCCAGGAAACAAAGAAGCTGTTGATTCGACTGTCGGACAGCTGTGAAAGGTCACCTTTTAAAATCATTTATTTTGAGGAAGCATGCCAAGAAAATTATCCCAACTCCAGTCAGAATTTCAAGACACTCCCATCTCTGACCTCCTGCTCTTCTTTCAAAAAGCACTGAACAAAGTATTTGGTGTGTATGTGTGTAATGTCTCCAGGTCAGTGCTAACCAGCCTGAAAGTCGACCATGCTGCTCTTCTGAACAGTGACTGTAGTGGTAGAGTCCATGGCGTGATTGTTACAATGAAAGGTAATCAAAAGCCATTTCCATCTCTCATGCCCTGTCAGATGAGTTGCACCTGTAAACATTAACTCTCTGACTTAGAAAAAAATTTAAATTAAAAAAAAACTTGCCCTCAGTCGCTTATAAATATAACCAATACAGAGTTATTTAAACTCTTTAGGATCTCAAATGAAGTTAATAACTACATCTACTCCTTAACTTATTTTTATTTTGACATCAGGGTCCCCAGACTGTAAGCCAGGATTTGACTTCTACTCCAGGTACTTTGCACCGTGGGTTGGAATCCCAGAAGATCCTGTGTGTGGTAAGATGAGCCCTGCTACAGACATGGGAGGTTCTGTTTTAGGTTCTGTAGAACTGGGGCCAATGTTATGGCCCCTGTACTGAAGACACAATATACTCTAATGATGAAATGTGCTGGAACAGATACAGTGACTGATAGCTCCTTTGGACCCATTTCATTTCTTTCTTTACAATTTAGTTTCAATTAATATTTAAAGATTAAGGTGAGGGATTTAGTCCCATTTTCATGAGCTAAATATTATTTTGAACCAAACAGAAAACAAATGCTAAATTGTTACAGCTGAATGTATCAGTTGTACTACAGTTCTAATTATAATTTGTTAAAACTGGTAATTGTCAATTAAGATAAGTGAAAATATAAAATAGTCCTGATTATAATTGTGCATTGACCTAATATTGCAAAGAATAGCTTCATTTTTATCTTTAGTAGATATTTATTTAGCATCTGAGTATTTATATTGCTTTTTTTCCATGGTAATTCATTTTTGTAAACTTTAGGTAACTAAAAAAAAAAAAAAAAAAAAAAAAAAAAAATTTCCAATTGGAACAACATAAACTCTGAATTGAATTAAATGAAGTGAGGATATATTTGGTTCTTCCACAGTCTTTTTAGTTTACTTTTTTTTTTTTGTTCCGTGATGTTCTGTGCTCCCATTAAAACATGCTGGCCCCCCTAGGAAATATGATCTAGAACCGCCACTGCCTACAGATAACCCTGATTCTGTTGTAGTGTGCATCCTAATCAAGTTCTATTGTAAGTGCTTAAAGCTTAAAAAAACATTTCTTGAGTAAGGCTGACACATATTTTATGTTTCATCTGAAATACGTACCTTCTGCTTTTTTAGGGTCAGCCCACACTGTACTGGGGAGCTACTGGTCAAAAATACTTGGAAAAAAGAAAATGCTTGGTGAGTTCTTATAAACAGCAGGTTCTGTTTTTTGTTTTGGGGGTTTTTCTGTCAAGGCTCTGGGTTGTCCTTTACTGGGACTCTCATATGACAATTTAAGTTTGACTGTGAAGTCAGATATTGACACATGGGAAAAAAATATACATATAAACTGTTGTCCTTAATCAAACACAAATGCTTACCACATTTGTGTTGATCCCTCTTCATTCTGATACCTGTAAGTAAAAGCCAGTACAGCTTGTTAACTTAAGAAATCACTTTATCAGTAAAAAAGGGTCTGTGTCAAATTTAATCTCAATAAAAATATGTCTGTTCTCAGATATTTGTAAGAGTAAACAGACAGCATCGTCTACAAAAAGTAACACGTTAAGCAGGAAAGAGGGAAAGTTCTAGGGAAGTTTAAAGCAGGATTAGGTGCAGGAATCTGTTGAGAAGAAGAGTAGCAAGAAGATAACGATGAGAGTTTATGTTTAAAGTTTGACCCAAAACATTTAGAGAGATGATAAGGAGATACATTCATGGGAACCCTGAGAGGAAAACTGTTAAATTCCACAGAAGAAGATGGGAATGGATTCCCTTTAAAGCAGAACAATCTTGACCATACAGCCAGAGCTACAATGAAAGGGTTTAGATGGTCCAGTTCAACTTCAAATATTTCTTAACTCAATTGAAAAATCAGTGTCAATGTTTGAAAATTGAGTTTCATTATTTATTTATTTCAACTTATTTCAATTCAGTTCACTTTATTTATATAACACCTATTCACAATACGTCACCTGAAGGCACTTTCTACAAACAATACAGTCAGATTAGCTAAGAGTTTATTTCCAGGAAAACCAGTTGACTGCCAAGTCAAGTCAAGAACTTGTTTTCTTAGAATCATTTTTAATTTTTGCAATATTCGGGAGATGAAAGAAGGAAATTCAAGAAGCCCCTTATATATGGAATTTACATGAGAAGTCCTGATTGGAAATTACACCAAGATTTTTTTACTTTATAATCTGAGATCAATTTAATCCCATCCAAATGAAGTGACTGACTGATCAGCTTCTTTTCAGAGACTGTAACTTCTGCTTTATGTGCATTTAGAAGCAGAAGGTTGCCACACTGAGATCTAACAGGACAAGTACAGATACAAGTCAATTATCTGATGCAATGAGAATATCATTAGTGACTTTCACCAGACCTGTCTCAGTGCAATGATGAGCTCTAAAACCTGATTGAAAGCCTTCAAAAAGTTCATTATGTTTTTAATCTTTCCATTTCCGTAGCTTACCAGTGCTCGAGTCGTGGTGGGGAGCTGGATCTTGAAGTGAGAGATGATGGACGAATCAACATAGCTGGAGAGGTTACCAGTGTACTGCAGGGAGTCATCAGACTGTAGAGACAATCTGATGAACAGGAATTCAATGTGAACATCCAGAACTAATACTAATTTGATGGTTTTAAAGATAAACAAGAGATTTAATCACAACTGATTGTAGTAGTGGACAAAGTTCATTAACGTGAGTAAATCAGTCTCATGTATGATGATTGAATTACAATTTCTTGTAATTAATGGTTTGATGTAGTAGAAAAAAAGGACACAAAATCAGGATAAAACAAAGACCCTGAACATTAATGCTTTTTATCTTTATGGAATAAAGGGGCAGGTTTACACAAAGACGTTTTTAAATTCTTGTTCAAACTGGTTAAAGTTTAAGGATTAGTTCCTTTCAAATAATTTAAGGAAATTATTTGAAAGGTCTTTAAAGGTCTATTATCCTGAACTAATATAAAGTTGGAGAGATAAAAAAATGCCTTTAAAAGCTGATAAGATATGTGATTACCTCAGAAGGAATGGTTGGTTTGGACTTAAACAAGTTCTGCTTTTAAGAAAACCTCGCTGGGTGGAAGAAAATTCATTTGGGTTGGATTGTTGCATCATTTACCCGAAGCCAGGTCCAACCTGGTTCTGTTGTTCTGTTTGATTTTCAAAACTCAGCTTTTCTGTAAAGAGTCGTCACATTGCCCCCTGCCCTCAAATAAAAATAAACTCTTGGACAATAATGAACAATCTTTGACTACTTGGCTCAAAACACCGTGTTGCAGCAAACAAAGCAATTTCACGAGGTCAAATGTTGTTTACAGAGTCTGTTTACGGTCCACCTGTCTTATAGCTGGATGAATACCACAAGTAATCTAATGTTACCTGTTGTTAAAAAAAACTGAAAGAAAATGGTTATAGCAGACGAAGAACCACTAATCTGTTTGATCAACAAATTCAATTTCTTTTGAATGTCAAGTTTATTTATTATATGGGGATTTACAACAAAAGTTGTGTTTTGGTACTTCAAAAGAAACCAATCAAATTTAGATTAATATTATAACTAGATTAATCCAATTAGGGACATATTTTAAGTCAATTATATTTAATTTAGTTCAATCCTTATTATAATTAATTTATAAGCTAACTAAAATAAACTAATTTATGCTTTTCTACAGACTGCTGAAAAGTTTTCAAAGGGAATTTAATTTAATGCATCAGCTCACTGAATTTGCTGTTTTTTCTTTTAAACAAGAATATGACTGGACAGTATATACCACTACTGTTAACTTTGCAATAAGTTGCAAATTGGCTAAATACTTTAAGAAATATTGAGAAAGTCCTGCACAGTAATTACTCTACACAAACTGAAAAATGTGTTCCATTCCAAACTAGTGTGTTCTTGTTGATTAGTTATAAGGTTTTGTCAAGAAAACACACATCTATTCACTTCCGCTTTTAAGCCCTTAGAGGACTTTACAGGGGTTCTGCACATATTTGGGATCAGATAACTGATCTTTTTGAGCATGTAAGGTCCCGCAGAGCATTCTGAGGTTAAAATACAAATAAAAAAACATACAAATAAACACAGAGTTAAGTCATTAAATATATTTTTAGAAGGTGGCCAGTCTGTTGCATTTCTATTTTTTTTTATTGGTTAAGGGCTGAACTGTTTTTGAACAAATGCACAAACATTTTAGCGAAAGGATTATCAAATAAATAATGTGCACAAATAAGGAATAGTTGTATTAACTATACATGTAAATAACTGCCTAATGCTGCCTAATGGTAAATCCGCCCGTGTGTGGATGTGGTGCTGCACACAGCTGAAGGGTGTGTGATGTGTTCATGAACACAACTCATACAAAATGCAACAAAAGGAACAAACCACTTTATGTTTAAGAAACATTATTTATTCACATTAGACAAAAAGATAACATTAAGAAGACAAAAGTTTAACAAAAAGTAAAAAAAGACCAGTCAAGTGAGGTCACCCTAAAAATAAAAGAGGTAAAAAGTCAGGAATCCTCCTTAGCAATCTAAATTCATAAATCTGAAACAACGAATGCATGGTTGGACAGCTAGAACCAACAGTTCAACTCACCTATGGTAAACAAAATTTTTAAATCTAAAATACACTACTGGTACCTCTGGATAAGCGTTTCTGTGCAGTTGGACAAAATTGTATACAAATGAAAAATCTGTTGCTAAGCTGAGAAATCAGAGAACAGTTTGGTGTTAGCTCTCACTAGTAAGGAACCAGGTTCCATACTAAAAAGCCTGGGGTCCCATTACTGACAGTTAAAAATCCAGTTACAGCATCAGGTTTTAACATTAAAGGCCTGCATACACAACACAACAAAGTAACAAAACTGATTTTTCAGTTAACAGAACTTAAATTAAACTGAGGCTTATAAATAATGAGCTTATATTTGCTGTGGAAGCATAAAATGATGGATTTAGTACCAGTAATTGCACCTAAACTATCATTAGTCCATTAGCAAGAAACCCCAAAGCAAATTGTTTAAAGTATCACAGTGTAATTATTCACATATACCATCAGTAAAAGCTGCACAACTGTTATAGTTCTTCAATATCTTAGAATTTTTGTTTCACATTAGAAGTTTAAGACTTCAAAATGATACAAAATTGACTAAAATCAGCTAATTGGACTGAATTAAAGATTTGAGATATTTTCAGATCAGGAAAACAAAATCACCATTAAATGTTAGTTCTAATGCAACCCAACTAATATTTTATTATATATTTTAGTTTAAAGTAAAACCAAGTTTGCAAATCATTAACAATTTGTGTTTATTATTTAATAAAGAGGCTCTGTGGCCTTCTGATGAACATCCAACCATCAGGGAGGAAAGGCCTTCAGCCATTTCCCCAGAAGCCAGTGAGCTGAAACCAATGTGCGGTCCTCCCTCAGAGGTTCATGCTGGGTAAAGCCTTGTGAGCAGCTGGTGGGAGCTGGATGATGTGAAAAATGGTTAAGGAGAATAACACAAAAAAAAGAAACTGCTGAGCACCAGTTAAAAATAGAAAAAAAAGACAACCTATACGGAAAATCTAAAATATGTGGACTAAGAATGGACATTATGACTGTCTAGCAGTGGTCCTGTAACCTGACAACAGCCAGATGCATGTCTCGCTCCGCCCAGCTCCACTTACATGTGAGTGGAGCTGGGCGGAGCGAGACATGCATCTGGCTGTTGTCAGGTTAGTGGTCCTGCACCCCTGAGGGTATGATCAGATGCAGGTGTGATCACACCCAGCTCGTTTAGCACAAGGGTTTACAAAATGGTGTCAGGAGACGGTTTTCACAACCATCGTGATGTGATCGCTGCGGTGGATGGAGGGCCGAAAGGGACAAAATTAAATGAATTAAATATATTAGACTTTATGTAATAAACAAAATGTCCCATTAATGTACCATTTTATGAAATGCACAAAAAACAACCCAATTAGACAATAAAATATAAAAAATAATGAAACTAAATGTCAATTAAACAGATATAAATATATTATTATTTATTTGCATTTTTAGGAGGTCACCAGTCCCTGGCATTGTTATTTCTTGGTACCACAGTCCAAAATGTTTGAGAACTCCCAATCTAGCATATTCAATCCTTAAACCTGCACTAGTGCTGCGTAAATCATTCCTGGAGCATGACCTATTTGTACCCAGCTTCATAATGCTGCTGAAGAGGCCATCAGAACATATGGCTACCATTAAGATATTTACACTTTGTGTGCACAATAGAAAATGATGAGATGGGAACAATACTGCAAAATGCCACCTGGAGGAAGGAATTAGTTTGATGAATCCACTTACATCAACTTAAACCCTGTTTCCACTGAACAGAGAAATCATCCAAAAGTCTGAATATTCTTTTGACTTGCAAAGTTTGTAGCAATATATATCTACCAGTACTATCAATATTACACAGAATTACATGGCCACAATCTGTTTTGCAACTTTACCGCTTCAGAATGACAATCGCTGCTTTTTAAACACACCATTGTACGGGCGCAACAATGGAGAAATAATGCTTAGTCAGTAGCCATAATGTTATGCCTGTTCACTGGGAGAAGTAAATATTCACCAAAAGGATATCATGTTTTCCTGATGAAGATGTTGGAGCAGTTTTTCCACCGGTGAGTAGCGTCTCAGCGTCGTAGCAGAGCCCACCATCAGCAGCTTGTGTTTAGCTCGGGTAACAGCCACATTCAGGCGCCTCCAGTCTTTTAACAGCTCCCCCAGCTGAGAAAAGCAGGACACAATTAGGACAGACTTCCAATCTATGCAATTTTCTTTAAAAAGTCAAAAAAAAAAAAAAAATCATTGGTAGAAATCAGGAGCTGGAAAGAGAAACACCCACACTTCCTTCCTCAGCTGTGCTTCTGACAAACGACAAAACAATCAGACTTTTGTCTCGTCCCTGGTATCTGTCCACCGTATTGACCTCCACCCCACTGAAAGCAGAGGACTGCAGCAGAGCTGAGATGCTCTTTAGCTGCTGCCTGTAGGGGGCGATCACGCCGATATCTGCAGGTTTACACCCAGCCTGGTAGACAGAGACAGTTTAAGGCCAGAAATAGAAACACTGATTTCTTTATATTACTTATATATTTATTTAACTCTGAACAGAATTAAGAAGCAAACTAACCCTGATTAGAAGAGACAGAAGCATATGTATGAGAGCAGCTTCAGTGTGGTTGCTCACTCCTCCTTGTTCCACTGACTCCAAGGCAGGAACCTGCAGGAACCAACACTTTTACATGTAATACAACTTAAACCCAAGCTGCATGTATAGCATCTAAAAACATCTGCATTGTTTAATGCATCATCTGCATATTTTTCATGAAGTATGAGTCGCTTGATGTTTTTTTCTTAATAAATCCAATCTGGGTTTTTTTTTTCTACAAACCACTGAGCAGTCCAAGAAGCAGACAGGATTGCTGGGCAGCAGTGTGGCCTGTAGCCAGGACAAGTCCAACTGGGGACAAGTCTCGGAGTAAGAAGTGAGCTCCGATTGGACGGAAGGCAGAAGGGGAAGCGTGAGCAGAGCTGAAGCCGTCCTGTCCGATCCACACTCCAGTCGCCCATCATACATCAGAGAATTACTCAGAGACATGATCTGTCTAAATACAAACAACAAAAGAACAATGGAGAAAAAAAACTGTTTTGTAGTTATTGATGATAAAATGTGTTCAGAAGAGTCTAACAGCAAGTTAGAAGATCCATGGAGCTTAAAAATAAACAGTTTTCCAGCCCATTACGCTTCATCACTTTGTTTGAAAATGAAATTATTTAAAACATAAATTAATGAGCTGTAGTTGCTTTCCAGAGACAATGTGAGGAAGCATTTTGAAGACCTTACATGAAATGTTTTACAATTTAAAAAAATGCCCTGAAAAATCTGTTTTCAGAAATGTTTTCTGCAAGTTCAGAAACTGAAAAATACCGGATAAAAGACAACATATACCGGTATTTTGAAAGCAGCGTCTCTGTGTGTTAGCAGCAAAATAGTATAAGTGCTCCTGCTAAAATATGAGGCTTTTCTTAGATATCTAGATCACATTAAACTTTAGACCTTGATCAATTTTAACACAACCTAATAAATAATAAGGAGAAAAAATATTATACCAATTGTTTTTATATATATATATAAAACTCTGAAAAGTGTTATTTGCATATGAATCAACCTCTGTACTCCTGTTTCAATGAATCAGGGCAA